GTTGAATCTTCAGGTATGTAGTCCAACACAGATTGATAAAATGATTCCGATTTAGATTTGGAGTTCATGATTTCATGCACTGTTATTCACTTTTTGAAATTATTTGAAGCTTTGGAATTCTAAAATGAGTCTAAGATTAATCTCAAACTAGTTTAAAAATAACTGCCATGCAATATATATATATATATGTACTGATGCATATTTTATATACACATGCACACACACACACACACACACAGGTTCATCAAAAGGTTCATGAAAAATAATTATTTTGAGAAAATTGCATGGATTTCACTTTTTTCTTTGCACCAAAACAAACTGGTACTTTAATTCCATTTTTAAAAATTTGCCAGGGAGTGTGTGAGTTTGTCAGAGGGAGACGGAAAGAAAGAGAGGGGGAGGGAGATAGCTACCCCCAATGGGGTGAGATCATGCAATAACCCCTTCGGCATTTATAGATCCTGTTGGGATTTTGGACATGCACCCATGTGTGCCTAGCATATTTTCCAAGCTGTTAGGAGTGAGTTCAAACTGTATGGTTGGCCATAAGGAATCTGGCTCCCTTAACCACCAGGCCATTGGGCTGACACTGATTTTATTTTCCATGAAATTTTCCAAGACTATTCATATGGATATACATAATGTACACTGGTTGGGAGCCACTGGGTTAAGACAAAATAAAGTCGTTAGAAAAACACTTCCATAAAGAACTATAAATAATCTAATGGGCAGAAAAATCAATGATTTAATACATTAAAAAATAGATGCATATACCCTTTTTACAAGTAGTCCCTGGGGGACTTTAGAAAATAAAATTACCTTATTCATATGGATATACATAATGTACACTGGTTGGGAGCCATTGGGTTAAGACAAAATAAAGTCGTTAGAAAAACACTTCCATAAAGAACTATAAATAATCTAATGGGCAGAAAAATCAATGATTTAATACATTAAAAAATAGATGCATATACCCTTTTTACAAGTAGTCCCTGGGGGACTTTAGAAAATAAAATTACCTTGACGTGTTCAAGCTTTTCTTTTAGCTGCTGCTCATTTCCAGGTTCAAGTGGAATCCTAGCCATGTTATCCGCTTCTTCCAACCATAAAACAAATTCATTTAAATCTCTTTGAAATTCTGACAAGATATTCTTTTGTTCTTCTAGCCTGGAGGAAAAAAAGAAATAAAATTGTTATAAACAACATATTTCTGAAACTTTTAAAAAAGCAAACTGGAAAGAAAGAACATGGCAAACGCTTTCAAGAAAAATAAGCAATTTAAAAATTGTTAACAATACATAAATTATTTTAGGAAAATTCATTCCCCTCAAACAAAGCAATTATAATATCTCAAAAATCTATAAAAGATAGATTAAAATTGACCAAGAGAAAAATTCTGATTTACACATTCCAACACTATGTTATGCTGTTAGAGTGAGGTTTCTCAATCTCAGCACTACTGACCAAGGTTGGGTACCTCTTTGTTGGGAGGGGCTACCCTATGTACTGTAGGATGATCAGCAGCAGCATTTCTGGTCTGTACAGACTTGTACATGCTAGGGACCAGCAGTTGGTGTAATGGCTATGTCGCTGGACTCCCACGTAGTCGACTGCAAATCAATTCCCAGACTTGGTGGCTTAAACTCATGCCAGGTGGGTGTGCCTGTGTGCCCAAGATCCTAAGAGGAGAATGGAGGAGAAGGAATTGCAGCGTGGCCATTCTCCCTGGGGGGTGATTTCTTGCTTTCTGTCTCTCTTGTCTCTCTCTGTCTTTCTGGCGAGTGCACACGCCCAATAGCAAAAAGTTCTCCAAAACAAAATAAAAGAACTCGAACTTGTTAGTAGTAACTCTTACATCCCTCCTCCTTAGTTGCGACAATCAAAATTGTCTCAGGGCATTGCCAATTATTCAGGAGGTGGAAGAAAGGGACTACAAAACTGTCCCTGATTGAGAATCACTGAGCCAGAGTAAGCATACAACAGGAAATGGCACATCTTAAAAGGCTTAATTAAAGTATGCTTTATGGGAAATTATAAAACAAAAATAAAAACAAAGGTTGAAAATAAAAGCACTAAATTATTGCATGGTAAAATATTTTCCAAATGATGACTCACAATTGTTTTGGATGAAACAGAGAAATTCACTTAAAATACTTAACATATGTTGTACTATGGAAGTTTTTAATTACAAAAATGTACATACTGTATATTTTTAAATTAGCCATAAGTTTATGCTTATATATTGGACTGTAAGACATACAGCTGAACAAAATGGTTTAAATTTAAAGTACTTTACAAATTTTTTGTTTTGTTGTCTGTTGGGAGTTACATATCTCTTCCATATAAGCTTTTAATTAAAATGTAACATACATTATAGGAAAGTGTGTATATAACTGTATAGCACAATAAGTTTTAAAAACTGGACACATCAGGCCAGCCAGTGGCATGGTAGTGAAGGTGATTGGATCTCACATGGCTGACTGTGTAGTTTGAGTCCCAGACCTGGTGGCTTGAAAAACATGTTGAGCATGTCTGCATGCATACCCAAATTCCCAAGAGAAGAATAGAGAAGAGACTGTGGCATAACAAACCCCCAGGGGGGTGCTTTCTCACTCCCTCCTCCCTCTCATATGCACCCTATAGTAAATTTAAAAAAAAAATCACACACCATAAAACCAGTGAAGAATTAGAATGTTATCAAAACCCCAGAAACTCCTTTTTATTCCTTTGCAATTGCTACATTCAAGTGTAACTAGTACCCCATCAACTTTAATTATTTTGCCTACATCCAACATTAGGCAACTACATGGTGTGTATTCTCAAGACACAAGTCTTGCCTCTTCCACTCAAAATTATTAGGTTGTCAGGAAAGTCATCACATGTTTTTGTATGCAAAAATGCATCGTGATTTTCCTGACAACCCAATGTATTTATAATAATACATGTGTATAGTTTTAGTTTGTTAATCTTTGGGGCTATATAGCATTCAATTGTGTAAATATATCATTATTGTTGAACATTAAGAATTAGCTAAATATTCCATTTTTTAATGTTTAAGATTTTGTCTTGTTTTGCTTTAAGTTAACAAATCTTTACTGAGAACTTAACTTTTTTCCAGAAACTCTGCTGGGTATTAGGATTAAAGATGGATATCTTACGTACTTTGCCTTGAGGAGCTCACAGTCCATGAGAGAAAACAAGCATGAAAACCAAGGGTTAGGATTGAGAGTAAGAGGATAAAGTTTATTTCTAGGTCAGGGCTTGGGAGACATCCCAGAGAAGATCATGGTCTGAGCCTTAAGGCATAAAAAAGACCTCTACGTTGCTGGAATAAGACAGCCTGTGCAAAGAGAGCTTGAGTGAATCACAATTAGTCCCCAAATTTGGTTATTGGACTATCTTGCCTATAGTTAGTTTTATTTATGAGAGTTTGCTCAAAGTCTGTTCTGGGACATGCAATGTGACATTCCTCCCTTTCTCCATGCTCAACACAAGTACCAGAGCTTTGCTGTGAAAACCCAAGCCAGATTATGTCACCTCTGCACCCCAAATTTTCCACTGCATCCCAATTCACTCACAGCAAAAACCAAAGTAATTTCATTGTTCTATAATAGTTCCTCCTGTGCTCTTTAATATGGTAAGCACTGAAGTATATGGCTACTTAGTACTCAAAATGTGGCTAGTATGAATTTAGATGGCCTATGAATATAAAATACAGACAGATTTCAAAGACAGTACAAAAGGAAAGGATGATCTCTGTACCTTCTGCTCAATTTTGCTGTGAACCTAAAATTTCTCTGAAAACTATAATCTATTTATGTCCTTCTCACATAAGATCATCCTTCAAGAGTGTTGGTAATGTAGCATTTCTTTTAAGTGTATTTATTTCTTCTATGAGAAAGACAAAGAAAGAGAGAAGGAAAGAGGGACTCAATAAGGTCTTCATGCCTCAGTGCCCCCCTTGATGCATTTGAACAGACTGTGAGCACACACATACTCAGATTGCTCATAAACATCCTGGGATGCAAACCCCAGGACCTTTCGCATGTGGATCTAGATGTATTTCCACAACACCATGAACTGGCCTTTACCATTTCTTTTTTCTATTTTTTTCAGAGGTTTTTGCTATAGGGTGCATGAGCTCGCAAGAAAGACAAAGACAGAAAGTGAGAAATCACCCCCAAGGGGGGATGTCCACGCTGCAATCCCTTCTCCTCCATTCTCCTCTCGGGATCTTGGACACACACGCACATGTGCCCAGAATGAGTTTAAGCCACTGGGTCTGGGACTCAAACCGTGGTCAACTACATGAGAGTACAGTGACATAGCCATTACTCCAACTGCTGGTCCCTTTACCATTTCTTAAGAGTGCTCTATTATCATGTCTGTGCTTGTCTTCTAAGCCACATGTAGACTCGCCAGTAAGGACTGTAAAATTCATGCTGATTTCATAATGCTGATGTGATAAAAAATGCAGCTCACAATGACTAAAATTTGGTTAATTTGTACAGTCTCCCATGAGTGACAAAGAAACTCAGGCTCTTATTATGGCTGCTATGGAGTTGCTGGTGCTTTCAGAACATTTTTTTTAATGTGTTAATATAATGACAGCTCACTGTTATCTTTCATTTGTAATTATGAATGGGCATTATTAAAGCATTACTTGTCTGATGCTTGAGCTTATTTTCCATTAATATGATTAATAAAGTTTTGGTATCAATTTCCATGGGAATTAGTTCTTAATTATATGAGATTTTGCTGCTGAAAATATTTTTGCCCCTCATATACACATAAGGAGTAGTATACTTATCATTACTGGTTCATGAAATGTTTATGGAGGGAAGGTCAGGAGAGAAAGCTGATAAGATGGCTGAAGGTCATGATATGAAGTCTCTAAAATTTGTTTGCTTTAATCTGTAAGTGATAAATTATTAGTTAATTGGGAAAATCATGACATATTTTTCTATGTTTTTCCATGCAAAACTGTGCCATGACTTTACCAACGACCCAATACTTAAAGGCTTTTAGTAGGG